TGTTAAATTTCGAGCAAGATTTTCATCCGGTGTGTAGAGGCTATCACCAGTCAGTCTGTGATACGTTATGACGTCACAGCTAAGCCCCGCCTCTGTGGTCTTGGCCTGCGGCGGTTTCGGGCCGGCGCGCGGTCACTCTCGCTGTGGCGGGGAGCGGGGACGGGCGACGGTCGAGCGGTGCCGAAAGCCGGCGGAGTTGTGCGTAGCGTCTTGGCTGACAGTGCCCTGAGAGCGACATGATGACTAAGGAGTCATAAATGCTCAATGCGCATTGCTTCTACAATGCTGATATGTTCGCTGATATTTTTTTCTTATTTATATAAGCTGCATATGACGGGCAGATGGCATATAACTGACATAAGGTTAGGAAATATTCACCTGTATTTAAAGCCTATGGCGTTGCAGATAATGCGATAATGGGATGTCGGATGTCACCAAGTAGCTACCGATTTGTACATCGCTATGCAACCATCGAACAACGCAATAATAGTTAATTGCCTGAGCTTCACATCATACGGCTCGCTCGTATTTCAAACAGATACCCTACATCGAAAATCGTATTTGTTAGGAATCGTTAACGTTTGTTCGAAGCACGACTGAGTAGTAGGTTGAGGAGTGATGGTCCTCTTGGTCCTATATACAAGAGTCAACAAGAGCCTAACATTTACTTGACCGTCTGCTGCAATTGACTCATAGCACGTGAAGCGTCAGCGAAATTCATAGTCCTTCACAGATGGCAGGGGTGTCGTTTGTACAGAGGTCGCTGATGGGCACGGGTCAATGCCGCAGTCGTGGGCGGAGCCTAATGTCATATGACGTAGAAAGCCTCTATCCAGGATGGAAAAACAGTTAACATTACGAGTCAATGACAAGTGCCTGAAATATTGAAATGGCGATAAAATATCTAAATTGTAAAAGTTTCGGCCTGTCTTGAAACGGCCATGTCCTGAGCTTGGTTGAAATTCCTTCACGCATTTAAAAGTAATCGCGAAAAATTAGGGTCTCAAGGGGTCTGGCGTTAACAATAGGTGATGCTCCGACAAATTCACAAACAAGACCGAACTTGTTCGGAGCTCGGACTGTGAGTTAACCCTCGCCCTTTAGGGGGGGGGGGGGTCGAACGGACTCCCCTCGGTTTTTCGCGAATAACTCGCGTAAAAAGCGGCCGATCACGACGTAACGTTTAGTATCCTCGCGTTGATCAATTTTACACCTACCCTGAAAATTTCATGACCCTGACGCAAATAACCTTTGACCTGTGACCTACTTTTCGAGACCATGTTTGGCCGGAACCGCGATTCAGCGTATGTCGGCTCGCATTAGCAGCGCGTTTGCAGTCTTTTCGTGGTTTCAAGCAAGGCCGTTTCAAGCGTTCAAACATGTGATATGATGTTGCCCCCATGCATTAGGGTGGGTGTCAAAGTCACCTGAAGGTCAGGTCAGGTCATTGACCTTTGGTGAACTCGGTTCACTTTTTCGAGTTTGACATGTTTCTAGGCCAGTTTTTCGAGCTGAATTCGAATTTAGCAACCACATGAACGTTTACAAAGTAGTTTTGGTGCCTTCGTAACATGTTACGAGGCTGTCAGAGGCGGTTGACACCTACTACAAATACCCGGCAGGACCTCTACTGGTTGACCTGACCTGACCTGACCCGACCTGGCCTAAATGAATGAAGACATCATCATCAAAACTAGCATGATATTCGTGATCAGCACCCCGGAAAACCCCATAGCAGCCACACTACGACGTTCTAACAGGTCCAAATTTTCCGCCTTTTGGGTCATTGGCCTGACCTGGAAGGTCAACCGATGACCTAGGACCTTAAAATTGGGTATCATCGGCTTCCTCTCGTCACGGGCAACACGCTCGTTTTTTTTTCGCGAAGCTCTCGCTTGATCAGGAGCGAAACGGCAAGGGGTTATACCTTATACGTTCCAGGCTGGCACGGTCCGCCGACATCAAAACAACGGTGCGTCAGCTGATTATTGGTCCTCCGATTCAGGAGAAATTATTAACGCGGGAACGCCGGCGCTAAATAAAGGCGGTACGATTCACGGCTTTGCATGATCGTGTGCAATATTTTTTTATAGTATCAAGCGAGGGTTATTGCTGGAGTTTTGCAAATAAATATTTGCTCTCAGTTTGGCTATGCGATCGTGAACACTTTATTTTCATAGATACGATATGAAATAGGATAAACAGGCAATACCATAGGCCAACCCAAGGCTATGTAGGCCAACCTTAGACTTCGCATAGGCATGGACATTGCGTATGAAGGTATTCGCCGATCGTACCACGATACCACGGGCAAGATATCAGACTTTTGGGAGTTTTGTGTCGCTGGAATGTATTTTAAGTGCTAAGAAGGAAAATAATTCAATTTAATGATGTCATGGACAATGGACATTTAGTCATTCGAAGCATATAATTTGCCTGGCAATTCGACAACCAGATAGTTTATTTCAAGAGCTTCTAAAGAGGTAGTGGATTTGATATCGTTTCTATTACATTTAATTGATAATCCTACATATCAGTAAAGCTGCCAAGTTATCATTCTCGGCGAGCGATTACCGGCACATCGTACCAATGCCAATGGAGCGTCGAGCGTCCGATGGTTTACGATAGGAATTATCACAGTAGTTTCAACCTAGCGCTTTTTAGAACCATGGTCCGAAATGGTAATTCAAAGAACCTCTTCCCCTTTCAACTCACCTGAAAAAGCTGCTTTCGTGTACCACCCAGCACCCGTTTCGTAGATATATCAAAATGATAACCGGAGGCAAAGATTATCCTCGGCCGTGCCCATTTTCGAACCAACCCTGAGAGGCATAGGCGGCGGAACGGGCCGGGCGGCGGGCACCGGGGCACCGTGCCCCCTTTAATTTTGGCATTTTAACATTAGCCCTATGGGCGTTGCACGGAAAGAATGGGACCAAAAGTCGGCAGTGTCCCCCCCCCCCTTTAATTGAAGGTGTTCTGCCGCTACTGCTGAGAGGCCGTGGAAAATCGCTTTTAACCCGCGCCGTGCTGGTGGCCTGAACTTTCCGCCGAGTGCTGGGGGGGGGGCGTTTTCACGCCCCCCCGTCTAACTCGGCTCCTGGGCCACGTAGCGACACGCGGTAAGCGGCAATCGAAAGAGCGTCAAAAATAAAGACGAAAACACTTCGGTCATTTTTTGGGTCAGGTCAAAGGTCAGGTCACCAGAGGTCACCAAAGGTAAAATGTTGACTATTTCAACATTTTGGAAACTGCCAACGGCTATCTCGGGAACCGATAGAGCTACAGCGCCGCGGAAAAGCGCATTCGATAGCCCTTTTACAGACCTTTCTGAGTAATGTTCTCAGATTTGACCTCAGGTCAACGGTTTAGCCTCCAGAGGGCAAAAACTCCAAAAATAGCCGTTTTTACGAAAAACGTTTTTTCGTCAATAACTTTTGACTCATAAGCGCCATGACATTACTTTTGCCAGCATCGTGTTCCTCTCGTCGAGACGCGTCGAATGAACTATTCGTTGACCTTGAAAGGTCATTTTGAAAATTTGACCTCAGGTCAAGGTCATGACCTGACCGAAAAGGGTCATGTTGCATATCAGTCGATCCGTATCGTCGAGCTGAACACATCTGACGTGTTTTCACCGCTCTAGCACGTCTCTATCAAAAGTTATAGCCAAAAAACTGCTGGCGACCGTTCATGACCTGAGATGACCTCAGGGGCACACAGAGGGGTCACAGGTGCATTTTTCCTATTCAGTGTGTCATATTTACCTATGAACCGATGTTTGAGAGCGTTTTGAACGATATTCGTCCAAAAGAGGCGCATTTCAATTTTCTCCCATTGACTTATAATGGAGAGGTCGCAAAATTGACCTGACCTTAGGTCACAGATATCAAAAATCCGAGATATACATTTTATACATACTGTTACTCATATCAATCGCTGAAAGTTTCAAAGTGATCGTTCAGTCGGTGTAGCTATAGCGAGCCTTTGAACTTTTTCTGAGGTAAGGTCACTTGACGTGACCTGGTGACCTGACCTTGAACGGCCTAGGTCTGAAATTTTCACAACATGTGCGGAAATGATGTAGGAACACGTGTACCAAAAACGGCGGCGCTGCGCGCCGCCGTTTTTGAGATATTCGCGAAAAACCTGAGGGGGGGGCGTAAAAACGCCCCCCCCCCAGCACGGCGCGGGTTAAAATCAATGCCAATTTTATGATCTACCACGATTCGTGGGGCTGACTAGTACCGACGGGGATCCCACAAACACGACGGTCACATTCATTAAGCATGATGTACGGCGTAAAGCACCACAATTCACTCCAAAAGCGCAACCTTCTGAGATATCTTATAAGTTATATTTAGTTTCAATGCTGGTACTGGTGCAGTTTCAATGCTGGTACCCTGCTCATTTCTGTTTAATTAAGTTATTTCTCGCTTTAATGCGCCTCACATTAATCGTGTGCTGTGCTCCACAATCATTGCGCCGCGCGCTCTTCCTTCTTATCGGCCCCCTTGAAATCGTATCCATCAATATCTATTTGTTGGATTTGGATTTGTTGTTTCTAATGACTTGTAGAGAAACAATTTTAGAGCGCTTAACAAAATAATTTCATAACCTATGAGCGATGGGAAAAGCCCAATCGTCCAACTCATAAAAAACATTGGGACACAAACAACTGGAAACTGTTGGTACTTTCGCGCATAGGCGGCGGAACGGGGAGGGCACCGGGGCACCGTGCCCCCCTTTGATTTTGGCATTTTAACATGGGCTCTATGGTTACATGGAAAGAATGGGACCAAAAGTCGGCAGTGCCCCCCCGGCCCCCCCTTCCCCTTAATTGAAGGTGTTCCGCCGCTACTGCTTTCGCGAACGTAATACAACGACGCTGGCAATCAACAAGTTGCAACATACGCCCGGGAAAATAAGTTTCAGATAACGACGCCGGCCAAGAGGTGCGCCGTCCGAAGGCTCCAGTTGAGCTGGGCGCAGGTACTAAATAGCATCAAAGGAAATCCTATATTCATCTCGCCGCATTTAAGCGCAACAATCGAAAGACGACAGCGTGACCGCGCTGACAGGCAATCAACCTGGCCACATAAAACTAGCTAGTGCAAGGAAGATGTCTATATAAACCACTGGACCATGCAAGGCGTTCATGTAAATAAAATACGAGTAAAGATGACGCGTTTGAGGGCAGACTGGCCAAACAGTGGCGTTACACGCGGATCTCAACACTGCACAACCCATTCATCAAAAAAGATCTCGTGGATCCCTATATACGTCATAACTGGCCCTAGTACGGGGGTATATAGCCATGGACGTAAATGGCCGGCTTAAGGCACAGGATCCCAATTGTCATCCCCATTACGTGGTCCCCAGAAGTCGCCAGGCCGAGAGCCAATGGCAGTTAAGCACATCTTACACGTGCCGACAAACGTGACACAATGAATCCAATAATGAGTCCGCCAATAAGCCTGGCTAATTCTGCATGTAGGCTGCTATTTACCACCACGGCGGAAGGCTAAAACGCATCCATTCCATACAGCTCAACATAGGTGTCAATTTCCGCCGGGTTGGGGGTGCTCAAGCTGTCTAAATTCCCCGCCGGCTCGGCTGGCTTGGCTTTGGAGCCCCAACAGACGGTGCGGGTCAAGGTCACCGCTAAGGCGGCGGCGGATTTGCTGCGCCCGGGCAGTGGGCACTGGGCACCCTCAATTCGGTGAAAATCGACACCCATGCAGCTCAACATGACAAAACGCTGCATACAAGCGCACGTCCTCGCATTTAATTGACGCATTTAACTGCGTCACTAACCTTGTACACTGTACAACACTGGTGAGATGACTGTCCGAAGGAAACTGCCGACTTTGGCTGGCAACATTCAGGGTTGGTGACTTATGTACTGAGTTCGGCTGGCTGACAGCGATGTGACTTCGGGACCGGTTGATGAACGGGCCAACCTAGCCCCATACTACAGGAGCCCAGCTGGTCTTGGCGAGCGGCGGCGACTGGACGAGGCTGGACCCCTACTACAGGAGCCCAGCTGGTGCTGACGAGCGGCGGTTACTGGACGAACGGGTCAGCCTGGACCCCTATTGCAGGAGTCCGGCTGGTCTTGGCGAGCGGGGACGACTGGACGAGGCTGGACTCCTACTGCAGGAGTCGAGCTGGTCCTGTCGAGGAAATAGTTCACCTTTAACATGGGATTTTAAACTGAGATAGCAGTCTGATAGAGCAGATTTGCGTATGCCTTATATTTGAACCGTTTGAGATATTCACCTTTTATCAGTGAATATTGGTGCTTAAATTCATATTCTACCTAGTGCTCATTTACAGCTAGCAGAAACCTCTTCAACACACAGTGGCCAATCAGCGATGAGAGCACTTACAGGAGCAGAATCCCTTGCAGCTGATAGGTTGTTCAACTGTTCGTGTTCATAACTTTAGTCATTAAAATAATGAAATCCTTTTAGAAGAAGTGTGTAATTCCAAGTCAGAATGCATTTAAATTTTATTCATCACATTTTTAACACATCTTTTTAAATTTTATTCATCAAATTATTCACAGAAGGTGAACAATTTCTTTAAACACTTACCTTGCTTCAATGGTGACATGTAGTTCTTGCAGCAGAGAAGGCACAGCATTTGGCTGCAACTTCAAATATTTACTTGCTGCTATCAATTATTCAGTTTTGAAATGCATACAGGTACAGCGAATCTTGGGTTCTCCTGTAAGAATGCCGACGTCACCGCAGAAGTTCATCCAGAGCTTGCGCCTGAAAAAAGGGCCAGGTTTAATATTTGAGTGAAATGAAGACTTTTGAATCATTTTATCATTATACCATCATCACATTTTTGCCTAATTTGTAAGAAATAGGTTTAGGTTAGCAGAAATAGGTAAGGTTTTGACTAGACCCCCTGGGTCACAACAGGAGATGACACCAGTGATTGGTGGGACCACCAGGCACCAGCACTGGCACAATCCGTTCTGACCACCGCACACCTATCAGCCCGAGAGCACATTAAATTGCATGTTAAAGCTCCATTAATACTTTTTTCAATTTTGGCCATCAATTTTGTTGGGTCCATCATGTCCATCACCAAGCCACATTTGAAATGCACTACACTACATACCCCACCACCTGACCACACCAGGCCAAATCCGCACCGCGCTACACAAAATCCGCACTGCACCAAGCTAAATCCACGCCACACCAAAGCCTCACCAGCCGGACAAGCCAGCACAGACGAGATCTTGTCGAAATTGCCATGCTTTGCAGAGTGCATACTGGCCTACCTGAACCTGACCTGACCTTACCCAACATATGAGCCTGACTGTCCTAAGCACTGGGAGCTCATTGAGACCAGGCCCCACAGGCCTAGTGGCCTCCTAAAACCTGATTTCCATATGGTAAGGTGAGCTATTTAAGAATGGTGATCGGATATCGAACGCGAGACAAGACAGCAATGGGCAGTGGGCGGTTCATGCAACAATAATCATGTTTCCTTACCACAAGTATCAAAGCCAAAGCAAAAATGGCTACCTATCGAATTCAAATTTCACTGGAACCTCACCTGCATGGATCTTAAGTGAAAGGTACCTACATCTTGATACATCTTGATCTGCACGAAAGATACATCTTGATCCACTCATCTCAATCTTGTTTTTCTGCATCCAGGGCATGCAACACTTCTGGTATTTTTGGCACAACTTACTCGACTGCTGAGCTCAAATGCAAATTGCAATCACGGTCTTAAAATACCTACTGAATATTGAATCGCAATGTAGGTATATTCAGTCGATGTACCGGTTTATATAGCCTTGGATGTACCCCTCGTTCGATGTCTCTTGGACGACGAAGATTGTTCGTCGTCCGGCGAATCCCGTTCTAGGTCAACGGGCTCGGCTGCGATTATGGAATGTGATTGGCCAAACGGCGTAGAATCTTTGTCGTCCGAGAGACATCGAACAAAAGTAATGTCGCTACTGCGCCATTTGTTGCATCGAATTCGCCCCATAGAAGCACGTGTTAATTCTCTCCCATAGGGCCCTGGGTAAACTCATGTAAACAACCTCCATAGGGTCCTGGGTAAACTCTCCCCTTGTCTATTTTCTTTAAACGGGAATGGTTTGGACAGAAAAATATTTCCCACCTCATAAAAAATCAAACTTATTTTTAGATGTACCTCATTGATGCAAACCATCAGAAAAACATTAGAAACTAAGTCAAAGAAACTGATTTTTTATAAAAGGACAGCTGACGGCATGCCTCCCGTGTCCCCTGGCTTGAAGCTTCGGCTCCGTGTTACCTTAGTATTCTATGACCGTGATACGTTCGCCGTTCGCGGCTGGAAAAACACCAATACGGGCGAGGGTCAAGTTGAAAGTATTAATTTGGTTCAAAACGATGATGTAGATAAGTTAGTTATTTAAATCTAAATATCCTATGACGAGAGCGATGGACATTTTTGGTATGCAGTGTTTTCCATTGAAAACAGGTCAAAGCTATTGAGTTTTTAATTTAGTGGTCGCCGCTTACTAATCATGCGGTATACACGCCGCACATAACCGCCAATGCCGCAAAGCAGCTTAGATTTCGAAGTAAGCATTTAGTCTCACCCCGTGTGTGGGGCGCAGAGATGCCGCAGTGAAGGGAAGGGGAAGATGTGACACTGCATGATGGCGGAAATGATGCTTAATGATCTAAATCAAACACCTGCACAGTGCACACCCTTCCTTCCCCCATTCCGCTACCTATTATGTCATAGTCCTACAATAATCTGCAATCGTCAAGACTGCTTGCACTCAAATTCTCAACAAAAGAAAACAAACAACTCGTTTAGCGGCGACATCATCCCGGACAAAAAAAAAGCGAGAATGAAAAGCGAGGCCATGGGATAGACGTAATGCAAGGGCAAATCGAAGTGTATACCTATAGTTTATACCGACGAGTATTTCATGACCATCTAGCCAAATTGAAATTTGGAATCTTGTCCAACTAGTCAGCAGCCGTTCTACACACATATAAATGCTTCGTTTTCGTTCACACAGTTTTCGATCACATAGTTTTTTTAAGTTTTGAGATTGAGTCGATATTTATCTTGCTTCGTTTGTCAGAAATTTTACCATGCCACTTCTGGTCGTGTTTAATGATAGGTACGGTATTTTCATGGTGATTGGTCAAAAATCACAATTAGGTATTTGCGAAAATTCGAGGCTGACAAGTTAACCCTCGCCGGCTGAGGAAAGGGGCGGGGCGGGGCCCACCATCGTAGTTTTTTTTTGTGATAGCTTAAAGCACGCTTGTGATAGAAAGTTAAAATTTATCATATTAACTTTTGATTCAAGCCAGATCATGTGACATCAACCGCGTTTCAGGGGTGGAGCTTCCTATTCACTTAGTGGGGCGCCTGCCCCACCAACTTGCCAATTTGCCCCACCAATAAGCGTTTTGCCCCACCAACATAAGCCGATTTGCAGGACTTTACTGCTTAGCAAACCTATGTTTTTCGCATTGAGGAGCTTTGAAATGTCTGTGTAATGCAAAATATTAACTCTGTAATGAAAAGAATTGATTCATTGTTGAATTTTATCTAACTTAACAATCGGACATTGTAGGTTTGACAACTTTTTGCCCCACCAACTTTCCTGGAAAAGCTCCACCCATGCCGCGTTTTCAGGTCAGGTCAGGTCACTGACCTATGACGTCATACGTAAACTTCTGCACGGTGCTAAACTGTGAATGTCACAAATCCGCAATGAACCTAATGCCAGAAGAGCTTTCACAGGGAAATAAAACGGACAGGACCGTGTCCTCCAGAGGCCTCACAACTTGTATATCTCGGATTTTTCCTCGAAGGCCACCTGAGAGGTCACTCAAGTGACCTTGTCATCATAAGCCGACATCATAGGGGGGATATGGAAACTTCAATGCCGATTGGCTTGGCCGACGACCAAGGTCGTGCGATGGTCAGCACACAGAAGACAGTTGGGCAAATTAGACCTTTGGAATCAAAATATGGAGGCATCAAAAGATTGATTCCTTATGACCATATTTGGGCATAAATGCAGACCATTTCTAACCTACCAATCACATAAAAATAAGAGAGTGTTTCAAGAAGGAGCATGCCTGATCTTGAACAGAAATGCTGGAACTATCTCCTAAGCAAAATAATATTGCCCCTATCATAACAATTTGAATTCAATAGGTAGTGAAAGGCAATCAAGGAACTGATTCACTTTAAACAGATAATCATAATATTGATTCCCCATCAGCTGGCTAATCATTATTTTGATTCACAGGTAATGTTAACAAATAGGCAACAATGACTTGCAAGAATACAGCATTTATCTTGCTATTATTCTCATTTAGTGGTATCCTCAGCACCACAACGGATACCTATAGCACTGTTGTACTTTACCTTCACTACATTTGATAACAATTAACAATTTTTAAATGTCAAGAAAACAAAAACTGAAGCAACGGGTAAAAACCATATAAATAATATAAAAGCACTACAACAATGATAATTAGGGGTTTAAAAATTTCATTTTGCCATTTTACACAAATACTGATTGTTTAGTACCTATGTGATTCATGATACAAAAGAACATACAGTGCGATTTCCTCAAAACAGCTTTTACGTGATGGACAGTGGTTCTGTCTTTTTCCCATTCACAAGGCCAAAGAAGGGACAATTTCTTAGCTTGGAGGTAACACTTTTTGCAAACCTACCACATTTTTCTACCTTTTTTAAGAAAAATCTCACCGTCATGGGCCTTTTTTACGCCGTAACGAGACATTTGAAGTCAAAAGTGTACCCAAATGAATCAAAAAATTGATTCCATGCCCATATTTGGTCATGGTGGCTCCTCCCACCAGAATCAAATTATTGATGCCTCCATATTTTGATTCCAAAAGTCTAGTTTGCCCAACTGAAGACGCGTTTACATAGGGTTTGTTGCTGTAGCGGCGGAACACCTTCAATTAAGGGGGGGGGGGCACTACCGACTTTTGTATACAAACGACACCACCGCATAATTACATACCCAAACGCCGAAGAGTGAGATGTCGTACTTACCACTTCATTGTGATTGGTCATCAAATTTGTGGACGATCGATCTCGGTGCTTGTCCTCTGTCAATCGGACTTATAGAAGCCGAGTTATGCCGCCGCGGTCCAACCCGTACGACCGACCACTTTGCAATCTAGCTGGATTCCGCTGGATGGAGGCACATCGGTCACAACTCACATGCAAAAGCTAGATTTGAAAACTGAGGAATCACCCAAGGCTATCAACCAACAGCTTAGGATCACGAGGCGGCGCTGTTTTCTGCTTGATATATTCAGGCAAATACATTGATATTTTTTTATTCAAATTAAAACTAGCCTTTTTAATATTTTTCAAAAGATGATTTTTCTTTACCCAGAGCAAATATGTATTTCAAGCTAGCAATTTTCTACCACGACAATATTTCTGCTAGATTTAGTAAAAGTAAGGTTCTTGAGAAGCTTTAAACAATCATGTTTGTCGACAATTGCAAGACACCTAAAGACAATTGCGAAGAGGTTCACTGGTGACCGCCCAGATGAGAGATGTCAAGACGTTTCCGGAGAGGAGAGACATAAGCGTCAAGATCTAGAAGTTGCTATTTGGTTATTGCCTTTCTTTAATTTAATTGTCTTTGAGGGAGGACGATTAACTGGAAGGTGGTGAATATTCCACCAACTCAGCTGAACTGGTTCTCGCTGTTGAGTTCATTCAAGGCCATTTCATTTGTACTTGCCTATCATTGGGAATCTGTCCTGTTGGCAATAAACTGAATAAATACAAAATACTTATAGTTGCATTCGGAGGTCGGTAAGTAGGCATATGGATTGGACGTGATGGAGGGGCCAAGGGCCTTAAAACGGACAAGAGTGGATGAAATGAGTTTCTGGGGAGATGCAGATGAAGGAACCCAGGGGGTTTATCTGCAGCTCAAACTTACATCTGGGAAAAGTGTGAAGGAAAGAGGGTGGCCATGGGTTCAAACCTGCGTCCGAGGCATTCTTGGCAGGGAGGAAAAAGTGGCCAAAGCTAACTTCATGGCAGACGGGTCTTTGCTAGTCAAGACCAAAAACGAGGCTCAGACAGACAAACTCTTAAAGGCCAACTTTTTGGTGGTGAGGAGTGTGTCGTACAGAGGGACGCGAGACTGAATCAGAGCAAGGGCATCATACATGCACCTGACCTGATTGACTTGTCAGAGTTGGAGATCTGCGGTTGGTTGGAGGAGTTTGGTGTGGTTGGCGTAAAATGATTCACGAGGAAGGTAGGGGAGGAAGTTCAGCGCACGCCCACTCTTCTTCTTACCTTCAACACCCCAACATGTCCCTCACAGCTCCAATTTGACTATGTCAGGTACCCAGTCAAGAAGTACATACCAAACCCACTTCTTTGCCACAACTGTGGGAAATACGGACATGCACAGGAAAGGTGTAAGGCTGAGAGTATATGTCTGAACTGTGCCTCTAAGAAACATGAAGGGACTTGCTCTCCAAAATGCATCAACTGTGGTGAGGCTGGACATGGCTGCCTCTCCAAAACCTGCAGTGTTTGGAAAACTGAGAGGGACATATGTGAAATTAAAGTGGACAGAGATGTCTCCTATGTAGCTGTACAGCAATGTAGAGTTGCTTCAGCTTTGGCGTAAGCTTTCTCCTCTTCCGCTCACCATTCACCACCAGAGTCAGCAGCGTCTCGGCTGGCAGTCCAGTCAGTCAGGGTGAGTGTCTTCACTCGCCACAGCGGGCCGGACCCATT